CATCAACCCTTTGACCCAGGCTGCATGAGAAGGTTTGGGGGGGGGGGGGGGGTGGCAATCAACAAAAATGTACCTCTCGTTTTTTGGAAACAATGAAAACACAACTGCAAACTTCGCTGAAAAGAACGTACAGTATTTCTAAACCGTTCTGTGACATTTGTGACTGCTCGTTTTCGGATGTGACGAATACAATATACAGCGTGAATGTTAACTTATGTTTCCACTGTTGTTAACCTTAAAGTATAGTTATAGTTATCATTTTATAGCTGCCTGGGTAGCTGGTTGGTTATAGTGCTAGCCTAGTCCACGTTTCGGTCCTGAGAAAATGGTTCTTAACTGGACTCAGCTATAAGGCATTGAATAAACGAGCATAGATCAAGAAACTGCTGGGTCAGTCTAAAGTAAACCGCTACACAAGGCATTGCACTCCATTCTGAACTCTTTCACTCATAATCGGGTTGAAAAACGTTCAGTTGTACCCTTTTAAGTTAAACCTTTTCGTAAGCAAGACCTTAGTTACGTGTTTTATCCCAAGGCTAGGAATAAAGCTTTTTTTATTTTATTTTGGGTGTTTCTATGCCAGTGGAATTTTTTACCTTTTAGAGAACGGTACAACCCCTGGTCTTGTTACTATCTAACGTCGAACTTTTTGTTAGATGGCATCATTAATTCATAGCCCAATGACAAATGGCATCTAGGTCTGGAAACGATCTCGCTTGGATTCGAACCAGCGACCTTATAGGTGAACATTATATAACCACTCGGCTACCCAGACAATCAAGAGAAGAAAATTAATTAAGAGGAGAGGTGTACAAAATGGCCGGGCTGAAATGGCCGAAGAGGTTCCGTCAAGTTTTTAAGGCCGTGTTTTAAAACCTAAAACCTTTATACATTCTGTAGACATTGAATAAGTTGTTGTGTTTATTTCCAACTGGAACCATTATAAACTTACTTTATAATAATACCAACAAACACAATTATTTGTGTTACAGTTTCATGTGATGTATAATGTTTCTATGTTCTGTAAATTATTAACGTGTTATCACTTTGAATTCAAAGTAGCAATTTCCGATCACAGTGATGCCAAAGAAAGTTAATGTTTCTAATTGTTCAAGCCGAGCTCTAATTTATATCAAGGGAACCCAATAAGCTGATTCCCTTGCTCTTAATTTGCTTTACTTTGCTTCCAATTAATTTCCCTTTGCCAACTACGAGCTATCGTTTCTTAACAATGAATTACAATTGGAATCAGCTGTTTTACTTGTTAACAATTAAAGTAAACAGAATCATATACCAAATCCAGTTTTATCACATGTGTATGTGTGTTTTTTATTGATGAAAATTATCATAACTTGTATGAGGGTGTTTTTTTTTATTTTTGTATTATTATTACAGAAGTAGGAGAAAATTCCGTATGTATTCTCGTCCTTGGTTTCGCCTAACAAGTGTTTTTATAATTCAACTGTATACTGATTGTAAAACATTTGTACGGGATCTGTTAAAAACAAATATACTTAAACATGCGCCTAGGACGTTCCTTGAAATTGAAAACGTACCTTATGAGAAAAAAAACTATCCAGTGGAACGCGGCGTTCACGTCACCGTACAACAACTTCTATTACTGCAATTGTTGTTTATGCAAGAGAGAACCAATTGCATTTCGCACATGTTTGTACACAGACACGGCCGTCTCCATGTGACTGTATGAAGCCTCTCAGTTCAGCCACGGCTAACAAGATCTCATTTCCTACAACAAACTAATCTCCACGATTGCATACCTGATTTCGGTCTATATTTGATCTAGTTAATTTAAACCTAAATAAACGCACAGCCTCCGAATTCAAACATTTAGATTTGAAACTAGGTAGTAACTCGTAATATTTAAAATATATTCTCCTAATAAAACATGTATTTGTCATACTATATATAGTTTATAAAGCTAAATAATCACATTAAACTAGGGTTACATGTTGAAAATATGTAAGTTTTGTCCTCTGATTTAATACACAATTGAAACACAACCAAATAAATACACGAGCTTAAAAATCCATTTGGGATTAACAGTTCTAGCCATTGAGTCCAAGAAACTGTCAACGGTTAAAATATGAGTGTCCTAGCCAAGTTTCAGCACTAAAAGCCTGGTCCACCCTCTTATTTGTGTTTTTGACTTAGTAATACCACTTTTATGTCAATTTAAACTTTATGTGTATGGAATGGGGTTATATTAGCGTATATTAGCAAGGATCCCCTGAGGTAGGATAAAATTGTGTAGTAATATTTCACATAAAGAATTGCGATGACATGGAACCTTTCACATTAGATTTGACTTGATTCTTTTCATATATACGATGCTGACACAACAAGTTGCGAATTAGGAGGCCTAAGGGAGTAATTAAAGTGTATGAGTGCTAAACTAATTAGATGATGTCTTTGTTACTGACTAAGACCGGCTGGTTATTTAGCTAGCACATTTATTAACAGCCCAAAGGTCATCAAGGACAGTTGGGTATAGTTTCGAGCCAGGAACGATCAAAAAGCTACTGACTTTTCTCAGGATCAAACCGTAGAAATGTTTTTATTGTCTGGAGAGCACAATGACAACTCTTAACTACAGGGTGAGGCAATGAGAACGCTACAATTTGTTTTACCTGTCACATGTTAATTGTTGCAACAATGAATGATCAGCTGAGCTTAAAACGTCAATTAAACTATGCCATTTTAGTAAATATTATGCCTGAGGCTATTAACACTGAGATTTTTATGTGGAACCTATTTATAAAATAGTGGTTCTTGTGCAAAAACCCAGAGATTGTTTGGACCGTATTCCATCCTTGATCAACATGGCGCTGTTCCAGATTGGAAAACAATGTTGAACTGGGTAAAATTATTTAGGATAATCGCTTAAACAAAGAAAAAATAATCGGTGGGTGCCGCAAAACTTTTTGTACACCAGCAAATGTTAAAAGAATATGAGTCCCAGTAACTCAAAGTCCGAAGAGATTTGCCAGGAAGCTTTTGTTGTTGAAAGCTTTACGTTGGCTAATTTTTTTGGGAGGGGGGGGGTTGTTCTAATAAGCTACTTGACGTTCTAGGTTTTTCAAAGTCACCCCACGGATTTGCTTGAACCGAAGCTAAGGATAGTCCAAAGTGCTGGAGGAGTATTTGATGGAGTTTCAAGTGGCTAAAAAGGAATGTCAAGTAGGACAATGAAGTCACTTGTAGGATTTTGTTCTCAAGAAATGGAAAAATGACTTTGTTAAGTTAAAATGGCAAAAAATAAGCTGTGTTTTGGTGTGCTATGTATATCCATCCATAGGGTGAATATTATTGAGTTTGTACTGTTTATAAATTGGGGCGCTTTCATTGCCCCACCCTTTACTATGGCATATTTCATTGGGAAGTTTATTTCATTATGTTATCGATGTGTTACTTTAGTACGGGATGGAAGAATATCTAAATAGGTTTACACTGGAAAATAGACGTCTGGAGGAAAGTGGCACCGGCGTCAGGACGACCGTGGTTGACAACTATGCCGCTAGGGGATCGATAGCGCTAGCGTCGCAGGAAGAGTCCAACCTGTAGGGGTGGAACCTGCTCTCGAATAGGGGCGGGGATCAGAATAAAACATAAGAAAACAGGTGTTGAAAGGTCATACTATCTTTAACGCAAGTCTAACATCCTATGCTGAAATTTTTACGCGGTATTTTGGGCTATATAAATAAAATTAACTATAAATTATAAATTGTAAAACCCTTTCTGTACAATATTTAATAGATTAGGAGTTAAATTTCAATTACTTAAATATGGTTAAGAGTTTGAGTATAATTTTGACTGACTGTAAAATCTTTGTCAAATTAATCCGCAATACAAATTTATTTATAAATTTACCAAAAAACACACGAGTAAAACAATCAGAAAATCGCAAATAGAATAATAAAACAATAAATTATATTCAAACAAACCCTCTTCTTCTTTAATGTTATATAATGTTATAACATTCAACTAATGTTAACATTCTAAATATGGATCTTAACTCTAGAGATAATTCTTCAAGGAGTGTTGCAATCAAATCTGGTTGCAGACGACATACACAACACAGTTCATCTCGTTATCTGTAGTTACGTTGCGTTTTCGTGAAGTTCCACAAGGCTCAAAAGCTACTGTGGCTGTTTTTTTTTTTACTGTGCAAGTCCTCTGTGCAACCGTGCAAGTAGCTCTGTCCTTTCTAGGACGAAGAGGATCTCCAATTAATTATTTCGGGAGAGACCAAGTAGTTGGAGTAGGAGACCTGACTTAACAAAACAATTCGGAGTTTAGATTACTGGTACTATTCTATAAATTATGTCTTGATATTTTTCTCTCGACACAACTTCGAGTGACGACATTATATAAATCGAATCGATCAGGGCTGCTATATTGTATGAGTCACCTCGAATCTCGACATTACCACAAAAAACCTTACAACTTTATAGTAAAATGATTATTCTTACGGATCTGTTCTAGTCGGTTTCTTATGTACAGTTGGGGTTTATGCAAATTATCATTGACTAATAGCCAATGTATAGTCTACGGTAGTATTTATTTCTTGTTATTTGTTACTTGTTGTTTTAATTTTAAAACTATTACGACTACAAAGTCATGTCTTAAACAAATATCGTAAACTATCATTGATATGAAAACATGCAGCAGACTTGCTACACATGTTTTGAGGGTTATTTAAAACTCCAACTTCTGCTTCTGCCAGTCTTGCCCACGGCAATGTACACTTGTGCAATCGGTTTTGTTTTACGTTCAAACCGTGTTTGTGTATTTTAACTTATTCTGAAAAAAAATCAGAGGGGGATCCATTAAAAATCTGTGATGGAGTTTTAAACAACCGTCAAAACATATGTATCAAGTTTGTGCTTTTATGAGGTTCAGCCCCTATTTATCAATATGTTTATGTTGAATTGAGTTAACACAAATATATATATTTTATTTATTTTCTTTTATTGTTACAGGACGTTGCGTTCATCAACCCAGCCAATGTGGTATTCGTCTACATGCTGGTGAGAGAGCTGGTCCACGGTGACGAGGTAGACAGCGAGCCAGAGCTACAAGCCGTTGTGCTGACATGTCTATACCTCTCCTACTCCTACATGGGCAATGAGATCTCCTACCCTCTCAAGCCCTTCCTGGTGGAGGACTCCAAGGAGCGGTTCTGGGACAGGTGTCTGCTCATCGTCAACTCCCTGTCTCGCAGCATGCTCCGGATAAACTCAGAGCCCGCGTTCTTCACAGAGATCTTCACGGAGTTGAAGGCGTGCGGCACACCGCCTTCCAGCACCGTGTCTTCGGCCGCTTGACCGCTCGGCACACCTAGGAAACCGACGGCGGCGCTCCTGGTGAAACTCAGCCTGGCGCAATCCAGAGGCCAAGTCACCACCAATCTGTGATCGGCCTGTAAAAGTCGGCCTTACCGTACCTAACTGTTTGCTTCGTTGTTTTACTGCCAACCGAAATCTAGTCACGTGGCTGGAGTGATGTGTCTAGTCGATTAAGAATCTCTTAGGTAAATTACAACTATAGTGAATTATAAATTCGAGGTTTTAAATCTTTAAAGTTGTTATTTTGAAATTAGAAAAATGCTCGACAACACTGGATGTAGACGTGTTCAACAGGTGCTACTGTAAGGCTTAACTAGCCAAAGTTTACTAACTTAAGAATGAACTTAAGTTCATAAAATTTAGGAGAAAATTAATTTTGATTGTATTGAGTAACGTATAGAATTATTAAATTCTTTTATTACTTAGCCAACTTGATTATTAATAAGTTGTCCGTCCAAAACTCCCACAAAGCTGGCGATGTAATCGCTGATTAACACTTCTTGTTTATTTGTCCCAATGTTTTACCACATTATTATGTTAATATTACCCTTAGGTCCACAAATGAGGTGCACACATCTCTTTGATGTGTTTGCCTAGATAGTGTCTGACATGAATATGTGTTCTGTGTAATAGGAAATTATTATTAACGACTAAGACCTAAAAGTGATGAAACTACAAAATTTTCCCAGTTCATCAGCTGATTGGGAAAGCAATGTCCAGCTCAACGAAACGGACCAATCGAGTTTCGAGACTCGGTGTTGTATATAGCCAGACGGATGCAATTGTGAATAAGTTATGTTCTTAAATTATTCTTTTATTTAGAGTGATAGTAATTTGTTCTCTGTATAGGGGCTTAGGTCGGGTGATGTGCAATCTTGATTAAACCTGTCTAGTAGTCGCACCTAGTCAAACAACACCCTTAGATATACTTCTAGTTGATATTTATTGACATTTTGTTTTTAGTTTTATCTGTTGTACAAGAAGTATTGTTGGGGCTCTGTTGTTTTTCCTGTTTTATTGTTACTTGATTATGAATCGATGACAACATTTGATTGTGTTTGTCAACTTATTTTTTCTAGTTGGTAACCGGAAAAGTTAATGTTTTAATATTGCGTATTTTCAATGTTCTTTTATACGTAAAAAAACTTAATGAGAATCACATGTATATTGCTTGTTACTGTGAATGTCAAGTGATTTTTTTAAAGATTAGGTGTCTTTATTGAGTAAATACGTATATTTTACATATTCCATTACTTTATACTGTATGGCTGGAGCCGAAATGCTTGTGAGGCAATGTCTGTGTGCTTACTGACTCATTCGATAATCCACATTGTATTTTGTTAATATTTGTTGTCGAGTTTCACGCTGACGATTTAATTAGTTGACACATTTCAAATTGAAAGTTAAGTCAAAATAACAGTTTTCATGACTAACAAAATTGCACATGACACTAAGAGTCAAGCCTGTTTGACGCAGACAGTGCTTAGAATGCAATGAGATCAAATATGTAAGCTGACGTATTAAACTTAGTAAGCAAAACATAAAACGTGAAGCTTAGAAAAACACATGCCTATTTTCCATTAAAAATAAATTGAATAAAAGTGTTATAACCTGAGCTCAATAGCAATATAAATAGCAAGAGTATAGTAAGAGACTGAGCTACACTAATTCTCTCAGCCGCCATTACCCTTATACTGTGAGTGTACAACCATAATCATCACAGAAACTTATTTTTAGCTTACACACTTTTTGCCCAATATTAAATAGAGTTTAAAACCTAAAACTACAGAGCTCTATTGGACAAAGTGTTTCCAAATATCTGATTTTAACCGATAATTAATCATATACAATGTGAGCAGAAAATGTCATTAAGGAGACATTGAGACAATCTGTCAGTTCTTCTAAACATTGATTAGTAAGTTTGAAGTAATAGTTGAGCAAAATATCTGTAATTAGGTGGTCAAAGACAGTGTCATTCAACCAAGTTTTTGTTCTTTCCGTGAAAACCCGTGCTTAACCACTTGATGGACCCACATAAACATATTTAGTCCCTCTTTCATTTATATATTTACAACTGGAAAATTAATGTATTGGACACTATAAATTATTATATTTCAGATATTTATTTTCAAACACCCTGTAATAGCTATAGTAAAAAAACCAAAAAAGTTCATTCAGGTACACAAAAAGCACAGCTTCAGCCTTAAATGTAAAATGTATAAATACTTACTATTTATTAAGTCGGTGAAGTATTTTTCGCAATGTACAGCATTATAAAAATATTTATAATTTTTCACATTAATCACCCATCCGAGAATTCACATGTGTAATATTTATGTAGGTTTAGAGTTTAAATATTATTCTCTTAGATAATGTGAATACTTAGTCATAAAATGTATATTTCAGAACTCATGGAATTAGTTTTATATTAATGGACAAGTTTGGTTCTAAGCGTAGTTTAATTTTTTTTTATTCACTGTCATCTAGCTCATTATTTGAAAACAGTAAATTAATTCTGATTGTATTGAGTAACATATAGAATTAAATGAACGTATAGTTCAGTAAATCACTAACCCACACTTGTATATGTGCCTAAATGAACCCATTTTAGGAAACCAACCCAAAATTATTATAGACATTTGAAATTTAGGACGATAGCAAATAGGATGTAAAATCAGGATGGCATATTTTGAATGGGATAACTACCAAAAGAGTATATTTTTACTCTTTGAAAAACGACACAAAGAATTTGTTGATTCAAGAGTATTTTATACACATATTGTATACTAATTAATATCTAACAATTAAAAAATTGATTTTCTAAAGCTTTCTATCATATTTTTATGTTCAATACTGTCAAACTTTCCCTTTGAGAAATAAATAATCCTTTTTGTTTGACATTCCCGTACAAGGTAAAAAATTATGTTGGCATTGATGTAGACAAAAAGATTTGTAATTATGATACGAATTATTTTTAAGTTTTCAAATTTTTTGACGCAATAAGTGAAGACCAAGGATTAATTTATTACCCTGGTCATAAACACCAGTTACTGTATTAATTCAACACTACCAAAGAAGTGGAAAGCCTATGATAGAAGTATATAGGCATATCTATCTTCTGTATTTAACACATTGACTGAACAAGATTAATAAAAACCTGATCCATTTGATTTGATAAAGAAAACGTGATCAGCTTTGTTGATATTTAAATAACATTTTAATATATATAGATCAAGATTGTGGTTTTATTTACCTACCGGTTTTTACTAAGACTGTTTAAGTTGAGTTGAAGTGTTAAATTCAATATCAAACTTTATACATGTACAAATTATTTACTATTATGTGGTGTTGCAAACCTTTAAAGCTTTCAATGGAGAAAGAATTTTTTTTATTGAAAAAGTTTTTATTCGTTAAGTAATGTACCAATGAATAAATTGAAGCAAGTATTGACATTGGCATTAAAGCTCAAGAATTGTAAAAACTGTTGTTCGATTGTAAAAACCAACAAAAAAATGTAGGTTGAGAAGTGTTTAGTGATAGGCTAGACATAGAAGTTGTTAATAATAAGGTAAGCATACATACTCATTGTCGATACTGTTTAGGAAATATATGGCTTCCTTTTTTGTTTTCATAATAAAAAGTCTTTTATTTCCACTTTATCCCTACTCAGTAGAGGTGATTCAAGATAACATTTTCAAAACATGGTGACAGTGAGAATTCCATGAGTAGTGGGACAACGGAAATGTCATTTTCTAAAAAAGATATAAACCTCAAATACCTGTTACCATGGACCTGCTGGTTACATGGGCAAGCTAGTAGTGCCTGCCCGTAGTGATAGGATAGAGGTGGCTGATCTCCATCAGTCAATGTTTGGCTTATCAGTTCCAGACAATACCACTAAGCTACCACTGCTACCAGGTTCGGTAAAATGTTAAAACAGTTTAAAGGTCAATCTTTACAGGCACTTCAAACTTTGAAGTTTCCTACTGAAAAGTAAGGTTATATAGCATAAATTTCATCAAGTCTGTTACATAAACTCTTTTTAGTAAACAAATGCTAGTAAAACGCCTTTACAGAATAGCTATAACCCTAGAATCAAAACACCAACATAATATTTTTGTAGCAATTGAAGCTAGTCTTTCTTTAAACAGTTTATTTTATGTTTGCTTAGGGGCCTCCATCAGGGATGTTGATGCCTAAATGTTCCTATGTATAATTTCGAATAGAATCTTAAGTTTGATGTTAGGCCCACATTGGTTTTAGGGTAAAAAATTGAATGCAAAGTTGAAGAAACACTGTGGATTTTTTTGTTCTTGGTTTGAACAGTTTAAAGTACAAGAATGCAATTTGACGCTAGCTCATACAGATTTTACCAAATCTTAAAACCACATGAAAAAGATTTGTTCAGGTAAAGCATGAAAGATATAGTATATTTCACTAATCTCAAAAGTTATCCATTTTAAGGTAAGATGGTGGTTTACGACTTACGAGCGATGCGAAGCCGAGCATGGAAGACAACTATCGAGACCCCTGGAATGGATCTTTCATGACGAGTAGTGATAAGTGAATGACTTTTAAACACAATTATCCAAATAATCAAAAAAAACTTATTGCACAAAGCTTCTTGGTTTTAAACAATAGAATATATTGCCAGTATAGTTATTTCTTACTAAAGTATAGTTTTACAATCTATTTAAAGTCAGTTGTTCAACAATATTTCTTGAATTAAAAGAATACACACATTAGGCCTCGGGAATGATACGAGCGGCAAGCGGTAACCTGAGCGGCACTTAAGCGGCAGTGGTGGCTACGATACAAGCGGCACATTTATAACGCTCATCAAATTTCCCCAGTTTTATGAGTCAGTTTAGTCGAAAATGGTAAACTATGCTTACCTGCAAGACGTATTGCAGCTATTGTTGCTATCTGACAATTGTTTGCCTTTAAGGAAAAACTTAGATTTTAGAAAAACCTTAGCACTAACTTGGTCCTATACTTTTCTGGTAACTGAAGTGTTTTAAAGCTTCTGTGCTGGTCATTCCACAAACATTCCTTGGACTGCACCTCACGTATCGCATGTTTGCTGCTGTTTCCCTGTCATTTTAGGCCGAACTGAAGCATGACTCACCTGAGCGGCGTTATCGCGAAAATCGGTTTTGACTTGGAACCATGAGTGGCACTGAGTGGTGCCGCTTACTGCCGCTCGCCGCTCAGACGTATCGTGGCCACCCTCAACAAATTTACACACAACTAAATGAGACCTGATGTCAGAGCAAATCATATCATCATGTGGCTCATGCCGCTCGTATCGTACCCAGGGCCTTAGTGCTTCTGTTGGGCCACACAGAGTATAAATATAAAAAAACTTGTTATGGTTTGTAATACAAACAATGAAGGCTTTGGGGAAAAAATCTTAGCATGATAAGAGCAATATTTTATTATGATCAATAGCCTTTTTGCAAGACTGTATAAAATTCCCAACTAAACAAAGACAAGGACTTATATAAATTACAAGTCAACTGACTAGATAATAATTAATTGCTTCCTTGTAAATGAGGTTATGACTTCCACACACTCTCCAATTGTATATAGAAATGCAATTTTAAAGCTAAAAGACACCTGCAGTACCAACATAGGTTGAGCTTAGTTGTATGGTTGTGTTTATTACTTTATTTTATCCTGGATATCTTGCCTCTTGTGGGTCCCGTCACAGAAGGGCCTGTGAGCCGTCTGTTTACAGTTGCACAGGTAATATTCTTTGTCCTCCTCTACCGTGAAATGTACTGGCCGGAATCCAATCTTCATGTAGGGATTTTTGTGTGTACCATCACAAAACGGCTGCAATAAAATTTGACGGATTAAGGTGTACTTTTGGCTTGTACTCTAAATGTTCTGAAATAACTGCTTGAAAAGTCGGATACACTAGTAAGACAAAGCCAGCTAACCGCCAACTTAACATAATTGGAAACCAATCAGGCCTACTTATAGATACACAATTCAATAGGCTTAACAAGCAGATACTGATACTCAATGAGGAATTGAAAACAGTATAGGCTACCAAAAAGTAGCTTTCTACTAGGGGTGAGTGATCAGTGAATTTATGAAAATTTATTAAAAAGTGAGTGCTAGTGTACCTGATTCTTACTCCATCCACATGTGCACCACTTGTACCTCTTATTTGCCTGCAAGTGAATTTTGAAAGGTTTCTTGTCATAAATCTGTCCAAACCCTGATTGCGTATGAGCTGTTATGTGGGGCTCCAATGTATTTTTTGGGATGACATCATCTTCCTTGTTTGCAAGAGCAACCTAAACAGATATCAGTTTGTATACCACAAAATCAGTATTAAGCCTTTAATTATAATATAAAAAAAGTATTGATTTAGGCCTACTATACAGAACCAATCTATTAAAATAAGTTGGGTAACTTATATTACTCTATTTTAAGTTGTTTAAACAACAAATACTAACTTAAAACTATTAGTACCGGTAACGGTAACTTATTTTTAATCAAATAAAATTAAGTTACTTCTCTACTTTTGATATTTACATCTGAGTCCCGGTTATCCAAAACAAGTGGGCCTACCTTATTCAGATTGCCAAATTGTTCGGATTAAACAATAACAAAAAAACTATCAAAAAATTAAAACAATGTAAACATTGTACATTGTACAACATTGTATTATGTAGGTCAATGGCCCATGATCACGATAACGTCATGATCGTCTCTCGCAACCACAGCAACATATTACTACTAACTTATAATGACAGGAATCAGAACATCAGTTATTGTTCCATTTTTATTTTTAAAGATTAGGCTAACCTAGGTACAGTGTTTTTGCGACACTGTGATCATTTTCTATGATGGCAGATACATATAGCTATCTCTTGCAATCGCAAAAGTAAGTTAGCGGTAGGCCTAATCATTTCCTACAGTTTTTCTTAGTGTTTGACAGTCAAGAGAAAGTCGTTAAATAAGTTATACAATCCTAACATTTAAACAGATACCGGTAATAAGTTAAGTTATACCAAATTCTCAGGTCTCATATAAAATTCACGGTTAATTCAGTTTATTTTTTAGTTTAAAAAGGCCTATAATAATAGTTTCCCCAACAGGTTGGTCGTTGTTCGGATATAACTTAGCCAGACGTTTGGATTAGTGGGACTCTGCTGTAATCATGAGTTAACATGCTTTCATTGTGTAGGCATACAAAAAAGTAAAAAAACCCAAGTCTGCAGGGGTAGACTTCCATATCTGTTGGGACAAACAAATAACGATCGATATAGCAATTGTTCGATAGGCCTATATCGTTTGGTTAGTTAGTTAACCTAACCTAACTAACCAAAAAATATCTAAAGAAACAATCGCATAATCGATATTTTCATTCGGTTGTTTGTGCCAACGGATTTGGAAGTCTACCCGTCTGCAGTTCTGTATACGGCCTAAGATATATTTATCTTATGAATAACAATAATGTGGGTGTACAGTTTCTTAACTGGGCTATGCTAATATCGATTGAAACTATCGATTTGATTAGTAAACCTTCATGCGATTTTTTAAGCATCAGCAAGTTTGGTTGGTTAGGTTAGGTTATGATAGTTATATTTTATAATAGATATATTTAATACCCCCGCCGCAGCAAACCTGCAGACTAAGCTAATTTCAACTTGTCTGATTACATTTTTACTAAAATATTTCCATAAATAAAACATAAGTTATATATTTCCAATTTAAATAACATTAGATTTAACGAGTGCTTAGGTTTGCTGCTACGGGGAAGGTAAAAAGTGTTTTTTGACAATATGTCAATAGTATAGGATGAAATAAATAAATTTGTCAAATTTTATCAACATTATATCCATAAACAAGTAAATTACAACAGTTTTCATTTTCTCCATAAGAATAACATGGGAATTTTAAATTACCTTTTTTAGCGAATTTCCCTATAGGGAAGTAGCTATTACCGTAGGTCTCATGGTAAGACTTAGGCCCGGGACCGATTTACTTTTTCATTTTGATGTCCCCAGAGGCCAAAAACAACATTCGTTCAAATTTTTATATATGTATATATATATAGATATATATATATATATATATATAGATTTATATATATATGTGTCCGTGAACACGATAACTTGAGTAATTTTTATCCGATTTTGATGAAATTTGGTTTAAAGGTGTAAGGCGGGATAAACTTGAATGAGTTCGCGATCCAGCATGATCGGACCATGGGAACAGGATTTTATGGGGGGTTTTATGGGGTAAAAATTGGTTTTTCTCACTTTTGACCCTCAAAACACAAAATTTTCCAATTTTTCTCTAAACTTTCTTAAAGAGCTTAAAAAAACAAACAATTCAGTATATCAAAGTGTTTTTGTACGGTTATTGGTTACGGATAAATCTAAAAAAAATTTAAATTTAAAATTCCCATGTTATTCTTATGGAGAATATTGTAAAATGTTGTAGTTTGCTTGTTTATGGATATCTTTTGATCAAACTTGGCAAATATATTCATTTTATACCAAGCAATAATTATTTTACTTAAAACACACACTTTATTAGTTTCCTTGTAGCAGCAAACCTAGGTACTCGTTAAACCAAATGTTATTTAAATAGATCAATTGAAAATCAATTCAGCCAAATGGAAATTCGCTTAGACGGCAGGTTTGCTGCGGCGGGGTTTTTTTTAATTTTCTCCGTGACCGTTAGGCATACAACAGCGCTTCAATATACTAAATTATTTGTTTTTTTAAGCTCTACAAAATGGTTTGGAAAGAAATTGCTAAATTTTAAGTTTTTAGGGTCAAAAATGGGAAAAACCTATTTTTACCCCATAAAACCCCCCATAAACCCCTGTTCCCATGGTCCGATCATGCTGGTTCGCGAACTCGTTCGAATAAACGTAGGTTTACACTTTTGTACCAAATTTCATCCAAATCGGATCATTTTTGCTCGAGTTATCGCGCTAACAGACACATATATAAATATATATATAAATATATATATAAATATATATATAAATATATATATATATTTATATATATGAATTTGAACGGATGGTGTTTTTGACCTTTGGGGACCTCAAAACGAAAAAGCAAATCGGTCCCGGGTCTAGGTCTTACCATGAGACCTACGGTAATAGCTTATTCCCTATACAGTATGGGAAATTCGCTAAAAACATTGATTATTAATCAATATTTTCAATTCGATAGTTTCAATCAATATTAGCATAGCCCAGTTAAGAAACTGTAGGCCTACCCAAAATATATTAAATCAAAAATTTTTTTGGTTTAAAACCTTTTATATTAGATTATAAACAAACCTAGCCTTATTATTAAATAACATTTCCTGAACAATACTTAGTTATGGAATGAAACTTATTATATTATTATAAGGTCCTATTTTTTTCTAAATATGCTAGGTTTAGGCATAGTTTAGGCTAAATCCAACTAATTAGGTTAGGCCTAGGCCTACAGTTCAGTAAGATAAATTACCATCACTGAGATAAATTAATACGGAACAAACGGATTTAACCAGTGGAGTATTGTCAAATTTCTACCAAAAAAGAAATCAAACATCGCCAAACAAAAGTTATGAAGATGACAAAATACTTACATTTGACGAGGTAAAACATCTAGTAGACCGAGTTAAGCAAGACGAATTAGGCTTAAGCCTAAAACCGTGCATTGAAAAATTTCTTAAGTGATGTAATTTAATCATTTTATGAATTTATTAATTTATAACAAGTTCCTAAGTTAGAAAGAGAAGTAGATAGGCCTAACTCAATTGGGCCTAACTGCCTAAACTTAAACAAACTAGCCTTTAGAATAAGATAGAAATAAAGATATGAAAATCTAACCTAAAAATACAAAATATTCTTTTGCAACAATTGCAACTCAATTCCTGTTTACTATTTTGCTTCGCCTCAAAAATTGAAACAGCTGTTTAATGAAATGTGAGAAAAGGCAGCTATTGTGTGAAGAGAGAAATAATGGGCAATGATTATTCTAATATCCTTAAAGCCAGACCACGGCACCTTTGTGTTTGTCCTATAACTACAGGCCGCGGCCTGGTAGAAGAATTGGCAACGTCGCAAGTGGTGTTGTTTAATGTTTAGTGACAGAAATCCCATAAGATAAGATGCACACAGGAGACATCAGCTCATTAATTCGCACTTAATTGATTTAAATTTAAATAAATGAACATAAATTTATTAAAATATTGAAAATAAAACATACAGAATTGAAAACCGAAACAATATGAATTAAAAAAATATATCTGTATATTTTAAGCGGAGTCAATATTGTCATAGTCCAGTAACCAATCTTTCGTAAATACACAAATACCAATACCATTAGCTACTTCCAAACAAAACAGCTGTTACAACACCACTTGCGACGTTGCCACTTCGAAGGCCGCGGCCTGGAGTTAAAGGTGGCCGTGGCCAGACTGTAAAATGTTAAAGTTTGAGTATTCTACCCATATATTGCGACAAATATTTCTTTTACTGTAACTTGTGTAACTACGTCAAATAGCCCACCTACCACCACCTACCTACCTGTTGTTAGTGTATAGTGTTATTCGCTTAAAAAAGTCTGATACAGGAGGTCAGTCTGTGGCACCAGTTCAGAATAAAGTATTAAAGTACAAATTGCCCTATAGGGAAGTAGCTATTACAGTTGGTGGTACGGTACCCTGAACATGGGACCGATATGTTTTTTTTTTTTATTTTGATGTCCCTAGCGGAAAACCTAAGTAATTTTTGCCCGATTTTGATGAAATTGGGCTTTAAGACGTAAGGTGGGATAGACTTGAATGACTTCGCGAACCAGCATGATCGGACCACAGGAACGGGGTTTTATTGGGTAAAAATTGGATTTTATAATTTTTGTCCCCCAAACACGAAATTTCCCAAATTCTCTTCCAACCATTTTAAAGAGCTAAAAAACAAATAATTTAGTATATTTAATATTTTTGTGCGGCTCTCGCTTACGTACATGTATGGTAGAAGCTTCCACCATGGGTTAAGTAGAAAATTATAAAAATTATCAATTAAACAAATCTTGAAATTCCCATGTTATTCTTATGGAGAATAAATAAAACAACTATTGTAGTTTGCTTATTTATGGACATATGTTGATCAAACATGACCAATTTTTGTATTATTTATACTTAGCAATTAATATTTTACTACAAACAAATTGGATTAACCCCCCCCATGGTGGAAGGAAAAAACATAGGTGTGCTATTCCCACATATTCTGACGTCACTCGGATTGCAAACATAAGATCACCTGATTGTAACTGTCAAATTAGTATGTATTTGTTTTGATTTGATTGTTATTGTTTTTATAATATTAAAAACAATAACAACCAAATCAAAACAAATACATATACTAATTTGACAGTTACAACATGTGATCTTTTGTTTGCAATCCGAGTGACGTCAGAATATGTGGGAATAGCACACCTATGTTTTTTCCTTCCACCATGAACCCCCCCCCCCCCCAATCAACGTTAGCAGCAAACCTGCAAACCTAGTTACTCGTTAAACCCAATGCTATTTAAAGTAAGTAATAAGTAAGCATCAAATCAAGCAAATAAAATTCGTTTAGTCTGCAGGTTTTCTGTGTGCTAAGGTAATTACTTAGCATTGTACAATTGAATGTTTTTAAATACTTTCCAAATGTAATACAGCACACAGTTCCCCAGTTACCTACCCTTAAAGCATTAGAGCAAGAGCACAGACTAATAATTAATTGTTAGTGATTGATAAGAGCCTAGAGCTACCAATGTAGATGTTGTTGCCGTTGATGGTTTTATTTTTAATTTCCACCTTTGTTCATCAATACGACCATTGACTATATAACGCAACATGATTATAGTTCGGCCGCTTAGAAAGCGGCCTCCTCCAGCATTGGTTTAGCATTAGCGCCCAGGCACGGCCACCTTTAACTACAGGCCGCGGCCTGGTAGAATTGGCAACATCGCAAGTGGTGTTGTTCAATGACAGACGTCCCATAAGATAACATGGCAGACAGGTGACATCAGCTCATTAATTCACACTTTATTGATTTAATTTTTAATTTACGAACATAAACTTATTAAAATATTGAAAATAAAACATACAGAATTGAAAATTGAAACAATAAGAATTAAAATCTATATCTGTACATTTTTAAGTGGAGTCAATATTGTCATAGTCCAGTAATCAATCTTTCGTAAATACACAAATACCATTAGTTGCTTCCAAAAAATCAGCTGTTACAACACCACTTGCGACGTTGCCAGTTCGAAGGCCGCGGCCTGGTGTTAAAGGCGGCCGTGGCCCAGGTCGTTTTCTAAGCGGCCGAACTATAGTAATTCTATTGGCACACGAATACGTCATCTTCGTGTTTTATGTTTTCGACATATTTAATTATATAAGTAACTAGCTGTAACCCACGGGCTTTGTCCCGTTTAACTTCTTAATTTTCAAGATTATCTCGTTCGCATGGCTCAATCACGTCCTGGTTGAAGTTTGTTCGTTACGCTCACTCACCTTTAGGTTGGAGCTCGTTCGCTGCGCTCACTTGCCTTCAGGTTAGCTCGTTCGCTACGCTAACTCGCCTCCAGGTTGAAGTTCGTTCGCTACGCTCACTCACCTTTTGGTTGCAAATTAGCTGTTGTCATAAATGTAAAAGAAATAATAGTGCTGCACCCTGTTGGTAATCCTTGTAACTTTAATATATAAGTAATAAGTAATGGTAGGAACGTCAGGCTGGGAGAGAATCTTGAATTTTGTTATTGGTCTATCTTTTGTGTCAGCTGTTTTTTACTTCTCCATAGTAACCAGTCAACCAACCAGTGTAATCAATGGCTACTAATCAACATGTATTATAGCAGAACAGATTAGAAGAAACAGAAAGTGAAGTAATAAAGACAACTCAACCTTATTGATTTAACAACAAATTGAACGTTCATACATTAATTATTTGTGCCTACATTACCGGTTGGTTTTAGCTAGACACACAGACCGGTACCAATTTCAGTCAGCTCAGCAGTACCTTCTTAAATATGGTGAGAAATTGTAGTTTATATTTGTAATGGTGAGACCTAATACTAAGTTGTACTTCCAAGTAAATTCATTGTGTCCTAGGCCCTATTCAATTCGTAGATGAAACGGGTTTCACAAAAACATTTTTCCAATTCATTCAATACGTAATTTTTACTGTTTTTTACTTTGGGGAACTGTCATGTCAAACAAAGGAGTTGAACCCTTAATCTCGAAGTTCACTTCACTAGCTCAGAAAGTTATTTATTTAGGCTATTATCACAGTATGAAATATTTGTGAAACACTTATAGGCTAGATCGCTTTCCTGACCAAGCAGAGTCTGTATTAATGGAGCTTAAATAACTAAGATAAAAAAAAACGGCTGCAGTTTACTTGACGTCCTACACTCATTCAAATGAAAATATTGATCGATATATCGATTAATCGATTGCTTCATTCGATATATCGTTTGGTTAGTTAGGTAAGGTTAACCTAACCTAACTAACCAAACGATATATCGAATGAAAATATCGAATCGAAAAAAACAATCAAATGAGTGTAGGACGTCAAGTAAAGTGCAGCCAAAAAAACTTATTTAGTTTGTACGTAAAATAAGATAAATTGGGCTTTCCATTTGTTACACTTCTCAATTTTAAGGATTTTTTTATGTTAGGTCTACGCTTCCACGATCAAAGTAGAGATTGTTGATTCATATTCTACGGAAAATTGCCACATCGTTGAAATAGCAATGCCAGTGGAAGACGTTTTACATGCATTGTAGAAATCCATATTCAGAGCAAAGGTTCGGCAGAGAACCTGTGATATATCATCGGATGAATAACAGTATATAAGTAGGCTACGGTATATCAATCAGAGAGCACAGAATTGAAATAGAGAGGGAATCGAGTGAGAGAGGTGAAGCCACCCGAAAATCGGCGTTTCCCGTATGAGTGGTGGGGAGAGCAATGAGTAATCCTGTAGTTCCGTGCGTCTCAGTCGTTGTACTATGCAAAATGCATTTGACAGATGCATGTAAGTTAACTGGAGTCAGGAACTGTACAAAACAACATTTTTAGAATAGGCTAGTAAAAGTGTTTATTTATTTATTTATTCTCTCAACGGTAACACCATTTTTACATTTGAATATACATTAAATAGGATTAAATCACTTTATAAACATAGCATAATTAGACGTAATAAATATGAGCAATAATAAGAATAAATTAGAAAGCAGACATGACATGCAAAAGACATAACCAGTATAAAAGACAAACAAAAATACATTCATAGGTTCATTTCAAGTGTAAGGCATACAAAAACATAGCAAAATTAGGTACAGGCTACTAAAATAGTGCAAATAAATAAGAATGAAAATGAGAAGCAGGCATAAGATGCAAAAGACATAATAGGATGTCTTATAGGATGACTATAAGTGTTGGAAACCAAGCATTTTATTTTTGAAATTATTTATGTGAATGTGTTTATGTTGTAAAATTACTTGTAAAATATATAATTTGCCGTGGTTAATAGATTTTCTTAATGTGTAGGCCTAATTGTTTCATTGCCATCTTAACACAATTTTTAATTTGATTGAGTAGGCCTACAACAAAAAAAACATTCAAAAGTAGGCCTATTCCGTTTATTTATATTCTCATACATGTTTTATATTTTAAATATAGCCTAACAAAAATATTTAAAAAAAAATCATTTATGTACCGGTAGGTGATTATTTTATGAACTAATAAGTTTACTATCTGGGACCGATAGAATTACTCGTAGAAATTGTTAGGCCTATCATAGAAAGTTCATTAATGGTTATATTTTAAAACATATAGAACTAAGGTCATATTGCTACGCACCAATCGTGATTTAGTTAAATTTCTGGATTGGATTTTGTTGTTTATAGTGATTAAATACACGTAACAATAATAACACGGATAAAATAGCTATAGCATGAAATAAAAATATTACTTATATAAAAAATTTATAAATTAGAGTGAATATAGAACGCATACAAACAAATATATGGTCATAAAAGTGTGTAGGCATACAGTGAGCGACATGTAGTATAGTAAGGCAGCGCCCGAGTGTCGGCCATACGCAAATTTTGCTTTTTCTTTCACCTGACTTATTTCCAAAACCACTCATCATAACATTTCGATCAATTTTAAACTATGATTCAACTCAAGCTCTCAAACTTTGAGTGGTGGGGGATTGGCTTCGGCTTCACTGCCCGCAATGCTTGCTGGATATACGTAGAACTCAAGCTCTCAAACTTTGCCGCTGACGAAACTTTCCTGACCAAAAAATACAAAACTGTCTAGATCACTTACTTTTTCATGTTCTAATAGGTACTTACTCAATTCAATTGTTTCTTTAAGTTTTAAAATATATTTATTTATTGCAATCTTACTGTCAGTGAAGAGCACTAGTTTAAAGCAGGTGTGCCAAATTTGGTATTTTAAGTCTACTCTAAGTGTGTCTAATCATCCTATATCCGAAAAATTTGTTCTACCGCTATATGCAGCAGTCACCACTTGCCTGTATGAGTGGTGGGGGATTGGCTTCGGCTTCACCCCGCAATGCCCGCAATGCTTGCTGGATATACGTAGCCCCTCTATTTATATTCTGTGCTCGCTGATATCAATACCTATGTGATTCTATATTAATATTGCATCGATCAATTTAAACCATATTGATAAATAAATCAATACCGGTAACTAAAACATAAAAGAAGCTTTTTGTGTTTATTTTATCCATAATTAATTATATCCTAAGTAATTACGATTAAAAATTAGAGGAAACAATTAATCTTATAATCCTATGTAGTTGGTTTTATAAAAGAACAATGTTTGATCCCGTTAAAAGCAAAATCATATGCTTTAGTTGGTTCATGTTTTGTGGTTTTAGTTGTCGTTGTCATTAAATACTAGCTGGCCCGACAGACGTCGTCCTGTCCTAATGTGGTTTAATGTCAATTGCTCGTTCATTTTCAAGATGAGCTTGTTCGCAGCGCTCAATTACGTCCTGGTTGAAGTTTATTTGCTACGCTTACTCACCTTCAGGTTTAGCTCATTCGCTACGCTAACTCGCCTCCAGGTTGAAGTTTGTTCGCTACGCTCACTCACCTTTTGGTTGCAAATTAGCTGTTGTCATAAATAAAAAAAAATAATATTGCTGCACCCTGTTGGTAAACATATTAACTTTTTTAATACTTTTGAACATCACAGAATCAAATTGTTTAGTTGAACCAGCTGTTAAGATTCTTTAATTCCATTTAAATATAAGTACTGATAAGTTTAACATGGGAAACTCCAGAGCCACTGGGGCGAAGCCCTTTTGACGGATCTGCACCAAACTTCACACAAACCATCTCTGAATAATGCTTAATAATACCTGAGAGTTTCATTACAATCTGTCGAGCGGTTTCGGAGTCCATAACGTTCAAATATATATATATATATATATATACGGTATATATAAACTTCCTCTTTTATAAATATAGATTATTTGTTTTTTGTAACAAATTATTATTTTTAATTTTTATTGATTAATCAACTCAATTTGATGCAAACAGATACATGCATAATTTGATTTGTTTTGCATACAGTAGCCTAGTAAAAAAAAAAACATAGGAACGATATATTGAATCAGATTTATCAATATATAACGTTATTCATCCGATAATATATCACACGTTCTCTGCGTAACTATACCCAGTGCAAAATACAATTCGACCCAGACGATATATTGGCCACTAGCTTGCAAATTCAAAGACGTGGTCATCTCCTGAAGATTTAAGAATTAATAATTGAAGGCATTTTGTTACGTAAGGAATTTGAGACCCTACCTCAAAGTTCACCTTCTTAATTCAGGAAGACAATTATTATAACTTTTTAACAAATAGCCTATAGGTATTAGGTAGGGCCTACATTATTGTGGTGAAAAACTACTTCATCAAGTTGTTCGTAATAGGCTATAGGCTGTATGATGTTGTACTTCAGCTGTTACTTCCTGGGCTGATTCAGTCCTTTTTTTTAAATTTAGGACCTTATTTTGATGTTTGTCATTATGGACTGCCCTTATCAAAGTGGGCTAGTTTTTATTCCTGGGCCAATTTTAAGTTTAAGAATGAGGTACATAACACACATTTTAGAATATTAAGAATAGTAATTGAGTAGAGTTAGTCTCTCAGGTTTCTCAAATTTTTGAAAATTACTTAGGATATTAGATGTAGGTTAGCCAGTCAAAACTGTCAATATTTATTCAGATTGATTGGTAAAAGGAAAAATGCATACGTGGCGTTGAGGGTTAGTTAAATTAACTACCAATGAACTTCTTTTTTTATTCAAGGCAACATCATTGCGAAAACCCACAGCAACCGGAGCAAGAAAGAAGTCTTCAGGGCCAAAATACGAGTTATCAGAGGAACAGAAGGCAGATATCAAGGAAGCGTTTGATCTTTTTGATAAAGAAGGAAACGGAAAAATTGAAACCAAAGAGCTTAAGGTATGAGTTAATAAATTTTTGTTACCTTGAGGGGGGAGTGTGTTTTGCTATGTTAGGCCTAATAGCTTTTTTTAGCTTAAAAAATAGAAATTATTGTAAAGCAAAACATTTCAACTCAGTTACCTTGAGTTAGTTAATGGTGATTGACAGATACTTGGATAGTGTTCGCTTTTATTTCAAAGGTGTCCAGTTTCTGACAACATAAAACAAAACACGACTATAATGAGACCAATAACAGTTATGACAATTGGTACAGTAATTTTCTTTTTTAGAAAAAAAATTGATTAAGTTATATATAAAAATTTGTATTTCAGATTGCGATACGTGCCCTTGGATTTGAACCCAAGAAGGAAGAAATTAAGAAAATGCTCAGTGAAATAGACAAAGAAGAATCAGGTACAGTTTGGGAAATACAGTAGACTCCCTCTTATCCGGACTCCTCGGGACCGAGGCCAGTTTGGATAGTGGTTTTTCCGGTTAAACCGACGTCCCCAAAAACTAGTTAAAACGGACCGTTTAAGAGCATACTGTAGACAGTATTTGACTTAAATTTAGGAGAGCGTTTACATTATCACTGGTCTCAAATCTTTCCTATGAGAACAGTCGTTTTAGTACCGCCCACTTCCTTCCAATCTTGTCCGGTTAAACCGATGTGCTGATAAAAATTTTCTGGTTAAAGAGATGTAATTTCCGCCGAGTGTAGTCCGGTTAAACAGATGTCCGGTTAAAAGGTGTCCGGATAAGAGGGAGTCTACTGTAGCAGAATGTGTTAGCCGAAATAATTTACATATCCCTAGATGCAGTGCTAGATTTGTAAAAAATGAGGTACTGGAACTGTAACCTATTTACAGTAATGTGAATAGTATCTTTTTATGTACGGTACCTATTTATGCCAATATTTGATCTTTGCGAAAAAGAAGTACCGGATAGCCGTTCTGCCGGAAATTGAGCACTGCCTAGATGGAAATCTGCAAGTTTATTACTTTTCTGTTTCATTTACTATTATATCAATTTATGTCAGGGAATTAAATCAACAGCGCTGTGTCACTAGTCATATATATAATAGGTATATATATAAAATTGCTGCTGATCTTTTGATGGAATTAATTTTTACTACAATCTTTAACAAATTGAGGTTTTTTATGTTTGTAAAGTTTCTAAACCAGACAATCTTCTACTGCACATTTGCTTACCTACTTAAGTGTTAAATTTTACTATTTTTTTCTACAGTTCTTCATCTTATATCACATACATTCTTTAACAAATACTATTTTGGCTGTAATATAGTGTTTGTAAATAAAAAACACTTTTCATAACACCAATATTTTGAATTGTTCCAAAGGTATGATATCTTACGAGGAGTTTCTATATTTGATGACACAAAAAATGACCGAAAAGGATTCCAAAGAAGAAATTATGAAAGCATTTAGACTGTTTGATGATGATGAGACTGGGAAGATTTCATTTAAAAATCTGAAACGAGTGGCAAAAGAACTGGGTGAAAACCTAACTGATGAAGAATTGAGAGTGAGTACAGTAATTAGACGATCAATACAAAAGCACCATTATGAACAAAACATACAATTCATATTTGACTTTCTAAGGTTGACTGAAACTAGACAAAACAGAGATAGGTAGCCCTAGTTTATGCATTACACACCTCATGTTGAGAATAACTTAAACATTTGTTCATTAACTGTAATCCAATAAAAATGTTTAACGTTATGAACAACTTGGCGTCTTAAGGCTGAGTTAGTGATACTGTAATTGCTTGAATAATTGCATGTTTAAGCCAAAAAAGACCTCTATAAATTGTTCTTTGATGTTCTCATATACAGTAATTATGTTGTTATGTAGTTAGTCTATAATATTATTAAAGTGATACAATCAAATTTTATATAAACGGTTAAGGCCATTTACCAAATAAATATATAGGCATATGTGACATCAAAATGTAGCTTAGAGTGTGCAGATTTGCCGAAAAGTATTGATATGGACGAATTTCCTAAGGGCTCTGCCCCACAGGCTGATTTCCAATGGGCTACCCCTGGCATGCTTCCAAAGTTTACATGATTTATTTAATTTAGTTAATGAAACAGCTGGTCAGTACAATGAACTGGTGTTTGTTTATTTACTCGAAAAAGATGTTTGTGGCGCTTTATGTAGATTTAGGAGGGTTATGTTTGGTTTAAAAGAAAGGTTGTATACGTTTTGTAAAGTATTGCTCAAAGTTTCATTTTATAATTAATATAGTAAGCTACATGAAAAAAGGCTTTACTAAAGTTGAAGAATTATGGTAAAACATGTCATTCGTGAAGCATCAAATTGAAGCAATTGATGCTGTTGCTACACTAAGGTATGGTTGTCGTTGTCATATACTTTTGGATCTATTAACATAAAAAGTAGGAGTTTGAAAGTAAGTAGGTTTACACTTTTAAATCAGTTTATATTTTCAAACTAAACCATAAACTTGCCGTATTAAAACACACATCAGAATTACTTTAATAGCTCTCTAGGTCACATTTTACCCCGTTGCAAAGCACGGGTGTAGCAGCTTGTATTTTATCATAATAACAATATACATGTTATTATTTCTACCTCCTTGGGATGGAACTTTATTATTATTCCATTTAAGGATTATAATTGTATTAACCTTAGAATCTGGGGTTATGCTGCTTTAAATTGCAAATAAAAATATGAAATCCAATTTATTCCCGTTGACTAAAAATTTATTACCGGAAAGTAAACATTCTACAATCTTCATCCTTATGGCTATGTGTTCAATATATAACAAAATCAAGTCATATAACAATGCTTTCAACTGTTTGGGCTTGTTCAAAAACTCGTTTCCTGGCTAACAGACCTTAACATAAATGTATTATAAATATAAATTGCTCCCAAAAATATAAGTTCAGATTCATCTGGTACCTCTACACTCTACTAAGAATAAGACAATGAGAAGGTGACTTTCAGGAGGAGAGCAACCTCCACTTGACTTTTCAAGGAATAAAATAAAATAAAATAATCTTCCTGGACTCTTTTTTCAAAAACTTTGCTTAATACAAGACACATCTATTTAATTCTTCATGATTTACCGTGGACATTTTATCCGTATCTGTATTGTAGGTTCATATAACCTAGTATCATTTCTCAATCTTGTATTGTTAACAGGAAATGATCGAAGAGGCAGACCGAGACGGTGACGGAGAAATCAGCCAAGATGAATTCCTCAGGATCATGAAGAAAACCAGTCTTTATTAATCTAAGAGAACCATTTAACTACGGATTTGTTTAGCACCCTCTGAGTGATTTGTACGCACTTGTGTTCATTAAGTTTTATTTATTTGTATTTATTGTTATACATAAGCTAATTTATTCTTTTGTTTAATGATATGTATATATTGTGTTCAGTCCTGTAAATTTTATGGAATGTTAATTGAAGTTTTCTTGAAAAAGTGTTTTTCTTTCAAATTTAAGGTGGTTTTATAATTGAATAATCTCGTAATGAAAAAAAGGAATGCTTTTTATAGACTGTTAGAGTATCCCTTGTCTAATGAAACATATTATACTGTATTGCTAGCTCGGTAGTTAGGGCCTCAAACTTCAGATATGACGAGTTCGATGGTCGGTAAACCCCCACAAATTTGTGTTGTTTGGACTGCATTATGTTTAAAGCCTTTGATGTTTTCCAATTAAATTTTAATTCTTAAAAAGATTGAATAATGCATTCGGCATTCAAACATGCATACATTAGACGTTGTATAACATTTTTGTTAAGAGTCGTCAGCTATTTTTGGCTGACAGTAACCATTGCAACGGCCTTACTTCATTGGTTGCGCTTAGACACTCAGTAACGATCACATCATGCACACTAAAATAATTGACAGCAACACATTCATAACTTAACTGCATACAATTTTTATAAGACGCTTGTAAGTTGCTGTCCAGATTAGGCAGAGTCTATATTAATGAGGGTTTACTGTAGTGGGTTTGTGTAAAAGGAAATAGGCCTTCCATTTGTTACGAAACTCGTTATATCTTTTGATCCAAATAAAAGCCAATAATTGAAACCAGACTTAAAACCACCCTGCAGCGTAACTTCAAACTATGAAGGTCTGAATACCATTTAGTTATCTAGCTACTACATTAGTTACTGTTCAGTATTAAAATCCCTACCCAGCTTTTGACTGATCTTATCTGTCTATTGACATTGCTCCTGGTAGTAAGTAGCTAGTTGTTCTAGATAACTGTTTAGATAACAGTGTTGCGACTTGTCCTGTATTACATAGATACATTCCCAATCTACCTCTTCCAAAATATCTGCACTCGCACCATCAAGTCTGTACCTGAAAATATAAATTAGTTTTCTACCATTGATACATGTGGTGTTGGTCAAATTGTTGGTTTTAATTTTATCGTAAAGTACTTGTATGTTGGCTCTATTTTAATGAGAATATTTGTATTACTTGAATATATCTATGTCGTTGGTAGTTTTTAAACATTTTAATTATTACATTACAGTAGAACCTCTTTAATCCGAACTAATTGGGACCAGGGGTAGTCCGGACTATTGAATAGTTCGGATTACAGAACATATTGTTGTTTTTACATAACAATAGCTAAAACATGGCTAAAATTCAGGAACATTATTTTGGGAAAAGTGAAAAAATGTTTTATAAAGTACTAGCTGAACCTGGCAGACGTTGTCTTGCCTTTGACTATTTATAATTTAAGTACCGTAACGTTTAATTGTCTTATTGTATATGAAGTGCTTATAACTAAATTAAAATACGTACGACATCTAATGAAACACATATAGTACAAAGGATAACCGATTCTTTATTATTGCTCTTATATTAATGCTAGGTTATGCTAGCTTAATTTTTAATGGTTATTTTCATTCATGGTTATTAATGACAGTATTTTCAAGATGATCTCATTCGCATGGCTCAATCACGTCCTGGTTGAAATTAAATATTAAATTAAATTAAATACAGTATTCAATAAAGAACTGCTGTATTGTGAGTAGAGTACAGCAATCAGGGGTTCGGATTAAAGAGGTTCTACTGTATTTGTTTGGTTCTTTTAAATAATTTTGATTTTGAGAAATATCAGTTATAAAAATTAAAATGTATCTTTGGCTTTAGTTTCTAAAATTTATGAGCACTTTTAAGTAAAAATTTTAAATTACCTATTTTTCAACACCACAAAAAAGCAAAACACGGTGTTTCAGTGTATGCATGATAAAGTACTGTATGGAATCAGAAAACTCAATAGTTAGGTACTGATAAAATATCTTATCTGAAGATTTTTACAGGAAGTAGCATTTATTTGTGAATATTATAATACTACCCTTGTCTTTGTCAATTACCAGAATATACTTTCTTGATAAGACTGTATGTACCGTAATGTAAAAATGCATTGCTAACATCATAAGTATGTTCTATATTCTAAACTATTTTATATGTTGTGTATTTAGAGCACAATTAATTTGTATCTTAACTTTTACTTTTATAAAAATGTTGTTATTATTCTTCAATCACTAAATTACAATTTGGATTGTAAAGCTTTGGTTTTACATTTAGGTAATTAGGTAATATATGTAACAATAAGTTTTCAACTCAACACAACATTATTGTGCAGAGTAATATTTAGTGTTGTCTCTGAAGATTATTGAACTTTATAATTTTAATTACTATTTTTTTAGAAAAAAACTTTACCACTAACAATCTATGTCCCTCACTGCCAAAACATGTTCCAGAGTGGGGAAACTTTGTTATAGTCTGTGTTATAATATAAATCAACTATTTTTACTAAAGTCATTCAAGTTATTGATCACTGAAGTATTTTGTTAAATACTAATAGCCAGGCTTTGATGATAGCTTGGCATAGTCTCAAATGATATGTTGGATTATTTGTCACACAAATATCACATATATGCTTAGCTGATGAAAATCAGCATAGTATTTTAAAGTTAAATCAATTAATTTTGATTCAACTAGGCCTAAAATATATTTTCACCACACTATGCTGTTTTGGCTGTATTACATACGTTAATTGGTGGCTGAAAGTTACGTTTTGCTGGCCATGCCAGCTGTCATCGTAATTTGGGGACCGAGCAGGTTTTTACAGCCCGGGGCCACAAAATCAGCTGTCCGCTTACTTACTTAAAACATGAATGCATTTTAAATACACAATCAAAATCCATAGCATTGCAATAGAATTGTGTTATTGTCACCGTTGCCTAGCAACTATTTATTTTTATTTTTGCTGATTCCTCAAATTATTTCTTCACATAACCTTAAAGTTGTAGTTGTGTTGACTATCAGTGTGCATTATTATAGTGGTGAATAGTGGTAATAGGGTATAGTGTGGTGAAAAATAGCGTTCGTACCACGGACCGAAATGGTTTTGCAGCTCTCGATCGATTTAAGTTCTCGACTTCGTCTCGAACTTAAAAACTATCTCGAGCCGGCAATACCTCATTTTCGGCCCTAGGTACGAAATATACTATTAAAACATATTTCACAGAATATTTTTGTGGAAACATTACCTAATCTTTGACTATTAATAGTTAATGCTATTATTTAATTACCATAATGGTTCTTAACTCCTCTGAAAATGTGAAGAAAATTATAACTTAAAACTCGCCTTGAAAACCTCTTTTAGTCAAACATTTCAATTAGGGATGCTCATTAGTCAAGATTTAGGTTATTAGCATTAGTTAGTTCTTTTAGAAATACAGTATTGATTATCTGACACATGATTAGGCCTACTGTGGTAATTATAACTGTATTTGTCTCAATACAAAACAGTGCCGTATTTCAATTCACCAGAAGAAAATCATTTTGTACAATACATTTGCTTATTCTTCACAAGTGTCCCTGTCATAGGTACAACTATTTTTTGAACATATTGAAGGTTACAGAGGAAAAAGAAATAGGCTAATAAAATGAATTTAATGTTAACAAAATTACATAGGTCAAGGCAAATCAATAAATTAAATTTAAAAATTATAAATATGATAGAAGAGATTGTAAAATTATTTTATGGTCATCTTAAGAGTAAGTTTTTTTAACTACATTGCTCAAAGAGAAAACTCAGTATTTTTGTTGTACATGTACTGTAATTTTATTTGTATTAATAAACTATCTAATATTTACGGTACTGAATTAAAGCGCTATTAACACCCACATCCACTATTTATTGTGAGTACAATTTTCTTCAATTGATATTGAATTGATTGATTACCATATGAACAAGACATATTAATTTTTTTAATAACATTAAATAATAAATGTAACATAATAAAACCCTACAACTTAAAGTCTAATTACTTTAGTGCTTAGGTTTGCTAAAACTGGGAAGGTAAATACCCCTTCCCAATGCCTTTTAAGCAAATTTCCATTTTGCCTGAATTGATTTTCAATTAAATATATTTAATTAACATTAGGTTTTATGAGTACCTAGGCTTGCTGCTACAGGGAAACGAATAATATGTGTTTTTATATTAAAATATTAATAGCTTACTATAAAATACCCCCGCCGCAGCAAACCTGCAGACTTAGCGAATTTCCATTTGTCTGATTGGATTTACATTAAAATGCCTCCTTAAAAATATCACATTTATTCCCTATAAACAGAATTAGTTTAATGAGTAGGCCTACTTCGGTTTGCTGCATCAGGGAGGGTGAAAAATTTGTTTAATGTAAAATGTTAAAAGGTACTGTAGTTTAGTAAGAAATAAATGTATTTTCCAAATTTGATCAAAATATGTTCATAAACAAGCAAACTAGAACAGTTGACTTATTCTCCATAAGAATAACATGGGAATATTTTCTCCGTAACAATTAGGCGCATAATAACGCTTCAATATACAGTACTAAATTATTTGTTTTTTTTTAAGCTCTACAAAATGGTTTAGAAAGAAATTGTTAAATTTTGCGTTTTTAGGGTCAAAAATGGGAAAAACCCATTTTTACCCCATAAAACCCCGTTAACATAGTCCGATCATGCTGGTTCGCGAACTCATTCAAGTTTTTCCCGGCTTTACACCTTCAAACCAAATTTTTCAAAATTGGTCAAAAATTACTCAAGTTATCGTGCGGATGGACACACACACACATATATATATATATATATATATAGATATATAAAAATTTTAACGAATGGTGTTTTTGGCCTCTGGGGACATCAAAATGAAAAAGTGAATCGGTCCTAAGCCTAGGTCTTACCATGAGACCTACGGTAATAGCTACTTCCCTATAGGGAAATTCGCTAATAAATAAATTCACCAAGTTTGATAAAAAATATATCTATAAACAAGCAAACTACAACGTTTTACAATATTCTCTATTAACATGGACATTTTTAATTATACATTTTTTAAATTTTCTCCGGTGTACAAAAACACATTGATATACTAAACTCTTTGTTTTTTAAGCTCTTTAAAAAAAGGCCTAGAGAAAACCCCCGTTAAACCCTGTTCCCATGGTCTGATCTGGTTCATGAACTCATTCAAGTTCATCCCGCCTTACCTACACCTTTAAACCAAATTTAATCAAAATCGGATGAAAATTACTCGATTTTTGGCGTCTGGGGATATGAAAATGTAAAAGTAAATCGGCCCCGGGCCGATGTCTTACCGTGCCACCTACGGTTATATACTTCCCTATGTAGGGAAACTCGCTAAATAAAAGGGGTTTACAAATAAAAAGGTTAAATACTGATAATAGGTTGATAAGTCTGCGACTAAGACCAAGGTCTTTAAGGATTTTTTTCTATACCCTTGGTCCAGGACTGAAAAAATGTTTAATCACGTCATTGGGGGAGCGAGCTGGTCTAGTGGTTATAGCACGGGACTTCGGTGCCTGAGGTCCTGGGTTCAACTCCCGCCAGAACACTAATGGATTTTATCTAAGTGATAATGCCTCAATCCCTAGATCTAGCCTGAAGCCCTGAAGTAATAATCCCGGGCTCGTGCCTAGCCTTCTAGGACAAAAAGATCAAAAACGGGAAAACCTATTTTTACCCCGTAAACCCCCGTTCCCAAGGTCCGATCATGCTGGTTCGCGAAATCGTCAAATAAATGTAGGTTTACACGTTTATACCAAATTTAATAAAAAATTGGATAATTTTTGCTCGATTTATCGTGCTAACGGACATATATATTATAATGAATCTGAATATGAACGGACGGTGTTTTTTTGCCTCTAGTGACTTCAAAACTAAAAAGTAAATCAGTTCCGGGGCCAGGAACTAGGTTCTAGTAATCGTGGTAATAGCTAATGTAATAGCTAATTCCCTACATGGGAAATTTGCCAACAGAAACATAATATAATTTAACGAACACCACTTCATAAGACAGCAAATTAATATAAATTTATCTTTGTTTAAATGAGGGGATACGGGCATTGACCATATACGGGTCAGGGACCTAGATATTCAACTTCGAGGTTGCATAGAAAAAAAGCCTGCCAACTATTAAGGTAAGAAAAACTGTTCACAGAAAGAAGTCAAAACCATTGACTATATTAAAAAATATATATATATATATACTGTATATACAGGGTGGCTGAAATGTAACTTGCACCCCCCCTTAACTTTTCAACCATTTGAGATATTTTAAATCGGTTTGCGGCAACCTTCTTAGATATGAGGGGCTACAATAATTATGGTCAATTTTTAAACTTTTGACCTTAGGGGTAGCGGGGGTAGGGGGTAGCTCAAAATTTTTAAATGACAAGTATAGTCGAGTTTGGTATCATTTTACAGGTCTTGACGAAACATAAACATTGACATAAAGAAAACCAAAATCGGTCCACTAATAACAAAATGGCGCCCAAAAACGTTTCAAATCGAAATAACCATGAGGGTGGCAAAAAATTAACTTGCACCCTCTTTCACTTTTTGACTATTTGAGATATTTGAAATCGGTTTGCGGCAACTTGTTTGGATATAAAGGGCTACAATAATTATGGTCAGTTTTGAAAATTTTGCCCTTAGGGGTATCGGAGGTAGGGGGTAGCTCAAAATGTTCAAATAGCAAGTATAGTCGAGTTTGGTATCATTTTGTAGGTCTTGACGAAACATAACAATTAACATAAAGAAAATAGAAATCGGACAATTAATAACAAAATGGCAGTTAAAAATTACTTTAAAAAACCATTGTCTCAATCATTTTTAGCTGCCATTTTGTTATTAATGCTCCGATTTTTATTTTCTTTATGTTAATTGTTATGTTTCGTCAAGACCTACAAAATGATACCAAACTCGACTATACTTGCAATTTGAACATTTTGAACTACCCCCTACCACCGATACCCCTAAGGGAAAAATTTTCAAAATTGACCATAATTATTGTAGCCCTTCATATCCAAACAAGTTGCCGCAAACCGATTTCAAATATCTAAAATAGTTTAAAAAGTTAAAGAGGGTGCAAGTTAATTTTTTTCCACCCTCATGGTTATTTGGATTTGAAACGTTTTAGGGCGCCATTTTGTTATTAGTGGACCGATTTTGGTTTTCTTTATGTCAATGTTTATGTTTCGTCAAGACCTGTAAAATGATACCAAACTCGACTATACTTGTCATTTAAAAATTTTGAGCTACCGCCTACCCCCGCTACCCCTAAGGGCAAAATTTTCAAAATTGACCATAATTATTGTAGCCCCTCATATCTAAGAAGGTTGCCGCAAACCGATTTAAAATATCTCAAATGGTTGAAAAGTTAAGGGGGGGGGGGGTGCAAGTTACTTTTCAGCCACCCTGTAAATATATTCATTTATTCAATGGTCTGGTCAAAAACGCTTGCCTAGCCCTAGCCTGCACGCAACCAGCAGACAGCTTTGCCTAAAGTCATTTTCATCTTTTATGAAAAATGTAACCTAACTAACCAAATAACTTAATACAACATCAACCAACAAGTTATTTACCAAAAAGCGTGTTGCCAAAAAGCGGGTAATTACCCGAAAAGCGGGTAATTTAGTTACCTGGGGGTAATGCTGCGGGTAATGGCAAATAGGCGGGTAAAAAGCGGGTAAATGACAACTGATCAAATATTATTTTTGTTTTTCGTATTATTACTTATATTTCACTAGAAGAAAAATATTTCCCTGTGTTTTTTTCCATTAAAGTTATTTACTTATTTCACAGACTTTTTATTGTTTTACACTACTTCTCTTAATCTTCATCAGTTTGGTTCAGTTCTCACTCAGTCACTACATAGTAGTGTAGATATAAAGTCAATGCGAGTAGGCTACAGCGTTCAGTCGGTTCGGTTCAGTTTCAGTCAGTACGGTTGTTTGTAGTCTTTTCTTTTGGATTGGAGTGGAAAAACTTTTGGTTGCCTGGCCTTAAATGCCTGATCCGTGATCCTGATCTCACTCTCACTTCACTTCTCACTATACTACAGTCAACGCTGATACCATGGTGGAAGGAAAATACCGTACTAGTCTACTTCTAAAGAAGATGAATAACATAAAACAGGGGAATAATAATGTTGATCGGTTATAATAACTATTTTCTTCCTAAAACTAATAAAAAATAAAATTTTTAACAGTACTTACTCATTATTAAACAAGTATATGACATAGGCTATCATAAAAAAAACCAAATCATTGTAAGACTAATGAAATTATTTTTGTAAGGTCAGTAAGATTGAAAATTTCATTATGAAGGTTAATTACAAGTCTCAAGTCCTATATTTAGTTCTTTACTACATCTTAATTTGTGGGATTACTCAAAACTAATTTATCAGGGTTTTTATTCGTTACTTTTAGAGACAGGCAAGAGTGTTTAAAGGGAATTTTTGGTTTGTTGAGGGTAATTTTTAGAAAAAGCGGGTAATTCTTTGCTTTGGAGGGGGTAATTGGGCCATAGTGGATTGGCAACACTGTTTACCACAGTGCACAGTGGCACAGTAATACAACTGAAACAAGGGTTGAAGGGTTTATTAAGACACTAATTTTCTCAATAAGTTTTGTTAGCGATTTATTGTTTTAAAATGGCAGCAAAACAATTACCAGAGGTGGTAAGTAAGCCCTTATCTACCCTAAATTAACCCTTAACTTATTCAAAAAAGCTAACGTGAGACTAAAATTTAACGTAAGCAGTTTATTCTTTCATAAATATCATAGTCCTATCTAGTGTTAAGTGCTTTCCCTTGCCATAGGGTAAGTTAAACAGTAACTTGGATGGGTTAGGTTTAAGGCTAATCAAACGGCATCCTGCAAAGTTTAACCTATACAATCGGAGCCTTAGTCCACAAAGTGTTACAATTCAAATTCCTTCTATGGCAAATATGTTTTTAGCGAATTTCCTATTTAGGGAATAAGCTTTTACCGTATTACTCATGGTAAGAACTGGACCCGGGACCAATTTACTTTTTCGTTTTGTGGTCCCTAGATGGCAAAAACACCATCCGTTCAAATTCATATATTTGTGTCCGTTAGCACGATAACTCGAGCAAAAATTATCTGATTGTGATGAAATTTAGTATAAACGTGTAAGTTAAACCTACATTTATTCTTACGAGTTCGCGAACCAGCATGACGATTCCCAATCCAACTATGGGAACGGGGGTTTATGGGGGGTTTTATGGGGTTAAAATAGGTTTTACCCATTTTTTTACCCTAAAAACACAAAATTTCACAATTTCTTTCCAAACCATTATGTAGAGCTTAAAAACAAATAATTTAGTATATTGAACCGTTATTGTGTGTTTTTAATGGTTAGGAAGAAAATTCCAAAATTTGTAAATTTAAAATTCTCATGTTACTGTATTCTTATGGGGAATAAGTCAACTGTTGTAGTTTGCTTGTTTATGAACATTGTATGATAGAATATGTAAAGTACATTAATTTTTTTACTAAACTAGGCTATTAACATTGTACAACAAAAAATACCTTTTTACCCTCCCTGTTGCAGTTAACCTAAGTAAGTTACTCGTTAAACTAATTCTATTTAAATAGGGAATAAATGTGATATTTTTCAGGAGGCATTTTAAGTGTAAATCTAATCAGGCAAATGGAAATTCGCTTAGTCTGCAGGTTTGCTGCGGGGTGGGTATTTTACAGTTAGGTAGTAACACTTGGTTAACTTAGGCCTACATAACTTATATCAGTCAGATAAATAATTTTTGGGTTTTCAGGCTTTGAAACTATACAGTATGCCTAAACCAAACATATTTAGCAGAGGGGTTCCAGCTCGCCTGCCTGAAGTTTACAAGAAGTTTTACGAAGAATGGAATACACCTTCAACCGTCCCAGTACACTACATACCCGAAGAGGGGAAGTGGAAGAGAAACCCCGTAACTGGTGAAGTGTAAGTTTAACACTTATATATATAGTTTAAGTTTAAACCTATAACTGATTCTAAAAATAGGCTAGGTACTGGTAGTAAAAATACAAAATGTTACAAACTTATGTCTAGGCCTAATTTACTATCAATTTATTTATGTGGTTAACCCTTAATTGCGCATGTAGAGGTAGGCTATGACATATCCCCACATACAATTTTGTCATAATTTTACAATATGGTGGCAAACCTGGTGAGCATACCAGTAGCTACCTAAAATGAATGCCTATTAGATGCGCCAGTGGCTCAGTCGGTAGCGTCTCGGACTTCGAGCCCAAGGCAGCGATGTCGTGGGTTTGGATCCTGGTCACTGCTGCAAACATTTTATCAGTACAGATCACTTTCGTACTGTACCGGCTCACCCCTTGCTTTGCTGGATACAATCTACGCACGGGCAGTTAGTCTATGTGGACGGGCAAATGCAAAGTTAAAAGAGGCCGCCAACTTCTTGAAAAAAAATAGCATATGCCATCATCTGGCCGCAGGGTGGTTAGTCTTGCAAGTCATTGACCTGTTAAGACCACCATGGGTTTGGCATGCTTCCACCCACATGCTTGTATTACCGGTAAGTTTACTGTGTTCATTTGGGGGTCTAGTGTACCCCCGTGCGCGTAGTAGTGCCTCAGTTTTATCATAATAGTTAGTATTAATAACTTAACTTTATTATTTTAAATTTTAATACATATAGTATTGAAAGTTTGCAAAAAAAAAAAAAAAACTTAATTTGCCTATATCTGTAAACCAATTGTATAAAAATGTCCGACTTTAGAATCCACTGATCCAGCTTTACAGTGCAAAGGCGTGGTGCACCGTCTGCCCACGACAAAAAGACACCAAGACTAAATTTAAGTGTAAAAAACCTTAAAAAAACCTAAGTGCCAGGGACAAATGACAAATGTAATATATTTGTGAAGTGTGTTTAAAAGGACTTCTAAACCAACCACAGGACGTGGATGTTTAAAGAAAAACATACATTATCAAAGAAAGTTATTCTATTCTTTTTTTGTATTTCTTGTACAGTATTTTCTATAAACCGGGAAATGTATTAATTCATGGCATATTTACTGCTTCCATGGTTTTTTACAAATATTATACTTTTGTAAAGCTGAAAATACTTGTTTGCAATAAAAACTTGTTTAACTAAGATTTCCCCCTCTTTAACGTCATTATTACATTTCATAATGAAAAGTGTGTTTAAAGCTATTATTTTCAAATTAATAAAAGGACATGGTAGGATCTTTAAATGTACATAACAATATGAAAATTTGAATATAGATATTACATCTAAAGTTTAAAGAGTTAAAAATATCAAAAACCTTTTTTTATACCTTTTTTTATTTGTATTGTGTGCGCTTGAGGGTTAAGATTTAAGTTAGTTTCTTTTACTTTCTGTTTTTATTTACTGTACCCTCTTAACCAACTCAAAATTCAAAAGGTCGTTTAAACCGGACAATCCCTAAACACTTTATAAAATTAAGTGCTATTGGATTGATATAATTACCATTCCTATGTCGTGCATGCGTTATTTAAAAAATAAACTGTTAGATTAGAAAAGAAAAGTTTAGGTTATCAAGGAAGTCGGTAATTTTTAATAGCTCCAGACTGTTTTTGTACAACGGTAACTTAATGAAACTGTGGGTTAAACACTACAAGTAACAGTTAAAAAAATGCTTGCAAGCAAACAGGCACACATGAATTACTAATTGAATTTTAGAATGTTTTCTAAGATGTGGTTGATTGGAATTTGAAAGATCAAATATGTATTGAATTTTTACATCTCATACCATTTTTACTTTTTCAGAACCCCAATACAGAATGTTCCCATCCCTTTGAAGTATCCGGCAGAGTGTAATCAGGGCCTATGGGGAGGGGAGGCTGTTATTTGTGGATACAAAAAACAAAGACAGTTTGTCCAAAAATCAACCCGATGGTTTGTGCCAGTTTTACATAGATCTATTGTCGTCAGCGAAATATTAGACGTAAAGCTGTCTACAATTGTCACAAAACGAACCATCAGTTTAATAGTCGACCACAAGGGTTTGGACAACTATCTACTTCAGGTTAGTTAGAAATTATATTTGACTATTAGGCCTAACATTTTTCATAACAATAAAATATCAATCTTAAAATATTTTGGGTTATTGAAAACACTGTATACTTGACTTGTTAAAAAAATTGTATTTGAGAGAATTAAGGATCATACTTTTAATTGTCTTTCAAATAACATCATTATGTCAGGTGAAGATACATTGCACAAAACTGGAAGCTTTGCCATTAGATATCTGTTTATTTTTTCCTATGTCCCTATTTGGTTAGACATCGATGTTATGAGCAAAATCACTATTTAGCCTTCTGCAGTATTCAGCAACTAAAAAAAACCAGGAACAAAGTTAGTTGCACTCAGAACTTGAGGGTCGGCTACCATGAAGATCTAAAATATTCCAAGATCATCTACCATATCTATATATTAATAGGCAAGCACGTTTCTTTAAAACCTTTTTTCTCAGCTCGTGTGCATCGCAGGGAAAATCTACGCATACTGTTAGAAAGCTATTTTCCTGTAGGTGTGCAGAATCCCTTTAAAAATTAAAATAGGCTCAAAAATAAGCACAAGAAATGAATTAGAAATTAAAAAAAAATTAACATGGGTCTTATGGGTTGCCATGCTGGTGACGAAATGACAACGGAATATAAACATAAAATCAAAATAAAAGGAAGCAATTCCAATCACATGTTTTATTTACAGCTTTGGGTGAAAATAGAGAAACCTGTACCATTCCATCCCCATGTTAAAGTTGTCACCAGTTTTTAAATTAAATTTGTCGTAGTTTATGTAAGCCACCAACAGATTGCGCTGATCAAAATTACTAATTTCTGTTGAATAAACAATGTTTTTTTACCAAGTTAACTTTTGAAATGACTTATTATGAGCTATAGCAACTGTTAAGACCCATCAACTGTGTCAGCAACAAAAAAAATGTAGAAAATAGAATATAGAATTTTACACATGCATTCTGTATGGCTCGCACAATTACAGTAGACTCTCTGTAATGAAATGAAATGAAATGAAATGAAATGTGTTTATTGTCTTGTGAATTTATACAAATTATTGACAATGTCCGAAAAACTGCTAAAACTAGCATAGTCAATATACTAACTAAACTATAAACTAGCATGAATACAATATACAATATTTACAAGAATACTACACACAAGGAGACATGTTACAATACATACTTTAATATTACAACCAAATAATCTTATTGTTCAGAAAAATGCAAGGCATTTAGAATAATGAAAGTTATTAAACCCCATAACCAACTAAATCCAACAGTAATTTGATAAATTTGCTAGCTCCTACTTAAAAATTAATAAAAGGCATTTCAAAAAAATCTTTTAGAGAATAAAAAGGGTTGTTCAAAAGCCATTTGTAGAATTTAGATTTAAAAGTTTTATTAGGATATTTTGTTATTAAATGTATTAGCTTGTTGTATATTTTTAGTGAGATTACAATATGACTTTTAAGAGTTTTAGACAGTCTAAAAAAATCTATGGTAGCAACGTTTTTATTCCTTGTATTATGAACATGAGAATTTTGTTTGATAAGGTTGGGATTTTTTAGAATATATGATACAGAGTCAAATATATAAATGTTAATTACTGTTGGAATTTGTAGCTGAATGAACAGGGGTTTACAGTGTTCCTGTTGGGGTTCACAAGATATGATTCTAACTAACTTCTTTTGTAAGACTAAAATTTCCTCTATCCTACTGCAATTTCCGTAAAAGATAATATTGTATCTGAAAATGGATTGGAAATAAGCAAAGTAGGCTGTTTTAATATAATTTTGATCTATACAATGTATTAGTTTAGTTATAAGACAAATTACCCTTGAAAGCTTAGAACTTATGTAATCTATATGATCTCCCCAAGAAAGGGTCTTATCCAGATAAATACCAAGAAATTTAACATTGTCTACATAACCATCCAACATATTTGATTCACAGGGTCTAAGGCTAAAAACAATTTTTTGAGTTTTATCTTTGTTTAAGAGGAAGCCGTTTGATTCAAACCAAATAGAAGCTTCATTGATTGAGTTTTGAGCTAACTCTTGAAGTTGTTTAAGATCGGGATTAATATTTAAAAATGTTGTATCATCTGCATACAAATAAGTTTTACTGGTTATACATTCTGGGAGGTCGTTAATACAAATTAAAAATAATAGAGGACCTAGAACAGATCCCTGAGGCACGCCATATTTCATTTTTAATTCTTGGGACCATTCTCCATCAATATTGACTTTTTGTATTCTATTGTTTAAGTATGATTTGAAAAAAGAAAGTGGAGATCCGTTGATACCATAAAAACTTAATTTCATTATTAGGTCATCATGGTCAACACAATCGAAAGCCCTACTCAGGTCGCAAAAAGTGGCCTGAGCAAGTGACTTCCTCTCAAAGACCATTAGTACCTCATTAATCAATTTATCTATTGCGTCTGATGTACACTTGCCCTTTCTAAATCCAAATTGTGATACACTTAAAAAGTTGTTTCTTTCAAAAAAAGAATTCAGCTGGTCAAAAACCATGATTTCAAACAATTTTGATACTACAGGAATGATTGATATTGGGCGATAACTTTCTGGAATATCTTTTTTACCTTTTTTAAAAATGGGACAGACTCTGGTGACCTTTAATTCATCTGGAAAGACACCCTCAAGGAGACAGAGATTAAAGCAGTAAGATAGAGGTTCAGCTAGATTACCAATAATCTGTTTAAGCAAACTATTAGACATGAGATAAACATCATTACTGCTAGAGTTTTTTAGTTTTTTTGTGGCTTTTATTAGATCATTAGGTGTGATAAAATTCCAGAAAAAAGGTACAGGAGTAATGGAAGAATTATTAACTAAATCTTTTGAACTGTAAGCATTACTAACAATTTTCATTTTTATGTTTTCAATTGATTCAATGAAAAATGTATTGAAAACATCAGGAGATATTTTGGGTTTTTTTGTATTGAATAAAGAATTGCTACTGGTTTTAATGATTTGCCAGGCAGTTTTACATTTGTTATTACTTTTTTCTATGAGATTTGTGTTATATTCTATTTTGGCCTTCTTAATTGAATGCTTATATTGATTTTTTAACCCATAATATGCTTGTTTTGTTTCATTTGAAACGCTTTGACTATTTTTTACTATTTTATCTAGAAAAATTAATCTTTCTTTCATAACTCTTAACTCACTATTATACCAAGCATTACAATTATTTTTTTTCGAATTTTCAGTTTGAATTTTTATTACTTTAGAAAAATAAGAAATGTTATCTTTTAAAACTTTGAAAAAAACTCTGAACGTATCTTCTGCTGTTGAATTTATACAATTAAACACTTGTATCCAATCATAAGTGCCAAGCTTTTCTACTAATAAACCAACCGAATCTTTTGGCAAAATTACTTTAGAAAAAGAGTTTAAAGCAGCATATTGATTAACACAATCCTTATCCAAATTCAAAGTCAAATTAATTAGAAGACCATTATGGTCAGAGAAGGGGAAATCAAATACTTTACAGCTTATATTTGCGTTTTTACTACAATTTGTTAATACATTGTCCAGGCAATTGTTGCCTCGAGTGGGGGAGTGATTTAAGAAGTGAAAATTGTGCTGGCGTAGTATATTAAGAAATTGTTTAGAGAGGTAGTTGTTCTGAGTCAAGTCAAAACTTTTATTAAAGTCTCCTCCGATGATTGAAACATAATTAGTCCAACGAGAGAGATGAGTTAATAATTTATCAAAATTTTCAAGAAAAACCACAGGGTTGCCCGAAGGTGAGTGGTAGACAGAGACGAAAATTAATTTAAAATCCTCGATAAAGACCGCTGCTGCTTCTAAACTCATTTCAGAACAAAACTGATCCAAATCACACATTTTAACCTGCAAAGAATTTTTAGTGAAAACTAAAGAGCCCCCCCTTATATGATCAGTTCTGCAGTAAGCACTACCACAACAAAAACCATCAGGATAAGCTAAAGCAACCTCTTCTGTTTTTAACCAATGTTCAGTTAGACCAATAGCGGAGATATTATTCCTAAGTACAAATGACTCTAAAATCGATGTTTTATTTTTTAAGCCTTGGATATTTAGAAACAAGAGTGAAGGATTTACATTTAAAATTGATGGTTCTTTTTGTGGTTCTTGCTTGGCAGTCTTATTAAGGCTAAACATTATTCTTAGGCCTATTTGGATCCACGGGAGCAAATGACACACTGGCAGCGCGGTCAACACTACACTTCTGGGGAATAACTTCACTCTCACTTAGATTGGACACTTCAATGGCTGACTGGTTTAGAGATTCATTAGAGGAGTTGTCAACATCAACCTCTCGTAGGGTAGGGTTGCTGACCTCAACCTCAGGTGGTGTGGTGGGCGTGGTGACCTCAACCTCGGGTGGTGTGGTGGGCGTGGGGACCTCAACCTCAGGTGGTGTGGTGGGCGTGTTGACCTCAACCTCGGGTGGTGTAGTGGGCGTGTTGACCTCAACCTCGGGCGGTGTGGTGGGCGTGTTGACGTCAACCTCGTGAGTCCCACAAGGAGTGTAGATGTTAGCATCAGTTCCCGATTGTGGAGTGGGGGTGATGGTAACTGTATCATCAGCTGAGTTCTTCAAACTGTATTCCTTTATCAGAACATCTAGTTTCAATTGGAATTCGCCATGTGATAGTCCCCGTCTTAGCTCTCTTTGTGATCTTTGATTGTAGCTCACGATGAACACTGCAGCCCCTGTTTCTTGACGAAAATCCATAATTTTTTTGATAAAGTGTTCTGGTGCAATAAGATCCCTCACACAACCCATGGGGGAGCAGATTAATGTTTTTAGTCCTTTTGCTTTAAAATCCCGTGTGAGTTGAGAAAAGGCTTCATTGTAGTCGTCTTTTTTTGGTTTCCCACTATACATCGGTTTGGTAACCATGCTGTAAACAAAAGCGCCTTGATTTACATTCTGACAGGTGAGTTTGTCTGCAATAAAATCGCAGGGACGTGGTCTACCAAACTTGTTTT